TTCCTAGTTTTGCCCAGGAGATCAATATGATGAGACAAATGAAGCACAAACCTTTTTGTTCCCTCTACACAATAAATCTTGAGTTAAGTAAAAACTATAGGTTGTAGGTTGATAATAGGGAAGGAAATAAAGTTTTGCTGGTGAGCCATACTATTGTCACCATTGACCAGAGATAGCTTTATACAGCTTTGGAACACAACAACTCTAGTATAAAGTGACTTTGTCAGAATCACCTTTGAAACTCCCTAAAGAATTTCAGTGACTCTTTGTTGATCAAGTCTGGCCTAAGATCAAGTGTTTTATCTAAACTTTCATAGGATTATGTTTGCATTGATCAATTATTTGACAATAACCAAATCAAACTCATATTTTATGATTATAGTACATATGTAATATTTTATGTTCTGTGCTGAAAAGCTTTTATTTTCTTTGTGCCAAGAATAAAGATTTGAACATTCTGTCAAAACCTCAACCTCTCTCATTTTTCAGTCCTTTCAGTTATCGTGTTTTTTTATTAACTCTACAGAACATAAATCTCTATGACTAGAGTTTGGTGAAATTTAGGACATTTTTATTTTACTTTTCCTGTGTAATAGAACAACTGTCTTATTGATCTTTACTTGTTGGACACTGAACTGTTTCATACTTGAAAATTATAGGAAAGGAAAACTCCTAAATAATCTGGTAATCTTTTGTTGATGTTAGTGAATTTGCTTTGAGTCTTTAAATACTAAATTTTTTATAACAAGGTAGCGAAGAGTTTTAAACATAGGTTTGTTTAAAAAAAAACCTGCAAATTATTTATTCCAAGTTATGAAATAAAATAATGATAAACTAATACCATGGACTTTAAAATTTTGAAACTTTGCTTTAGTTTTCAATATTGTAGCTCCCTCTTGTGATAAAAATAATCCTTACATTAAAAATGAGAAATATGACAACTGATTGTTTACCGTCAGTAGATGAGCACAGGAACTTTCAAATCCAGACAGGAATCCCATTGCAGAAGATAAGGGCATATGTCTGTTTGACATCTTAAGAAAAAAAAAATTATCATTTTAAAGGATTTTAAAGAGAAAGTGGCCTAAACTGAGGATAGACCAATAGGTGAATATAATCTTTCAAAAGTCAGCAAGGTAGCTATAATGGAAAGATAGGGAGATTCATTAAAAGGATATTTTTAGAAGTAGACCCTTAGTTTATTCTGAAAATCAAAAATGACATAGAAATAGTATATTGTTTGAACATCAGTATTTAACAACTTTTTTTTTTACTGTGACTTGGCTATATTTACTTGAAGTTACAGATATTACTATCAAATAGTGTGACTAATTTTTAACAAATACACAAAAATTTACACATATAATTTTGTTGTACCTTTCAAAGACAGTGTTACCTTTTCATTTTTAGACTTCCTTATCTATCTACCTTTTTTTTTCTAATAGGCAATTAGGGTTAAGTGACTTGTCCAGGGTCACACAGCTAGTAAGTGTAAAGTGTTTGGTCTGAGGCCAGATTTGAACTCAGATTCTCCCGACTTCAGGGTCAGTGCTCTATCCACTGCGCCACCTACCTGCCCCCATCCAGCTTTTTCAAGAATGAAAAAATATGAAAACAAAGTTTGTGACTCATTGAAATGTTGAATGAAAACTTATTTTAACTGATAAAACTGATAAAAACTGAAAACTTAATTTAACTGATAATGTATCTATACTTACTCCTTTTATTTCTAATTCCTTATTTAGCAATCTGTCTTTTTTTAATTAGACTTGTTTTTTTGAGCCATTCTTATGGAGGAGGATCACAGTAGCTAGATACTTAATATGGCTTTCTTACAGTTTTTTGGATGTCTGAATGTCAGGGACTAATGGAACAAACCAAAGCATCATAGGATAGTAGAGGAATACCATACCGTATTTCCCACCCAATTAGTCCTTTGAACACTTTTAAGTTTTAAATCTATTGTCAGAAACCTTAAGTTCTGGTCTATAGGTATAGAATTTGCAAAGAAAATTAGGTAAATTAAGCTATTTTCAGCCTGAAAAATTGTTAGACATCTTTAGTTATTTTTGGTAAATTGTTTTGTAGAGGAAAAAATATAGTTAGCGTTGCCATTTTCTCATGGACACAGTGTGGTATCGTAGCAAAGAACATTGATGTTAAAAAGCCTAGGTTCAAACTCTGGCAGTAACATTTGCTACATATGTGACCATCTTTCTGAATTCATCTGTAAACCCGTGAGCCTTTATGAACCTGTGTTCACATTCACCAGGATTCCACAAACCCAGTCTGGGAAATGCTGTGGGACAGAATAGAAGGAGGAAGAGCGATAGAACAGTAGCAGTTCCATAGTGGTAGTGTGGCTATCCTAAGCTTGGATGCCAAGTAATAGAATCTGAAAGTACTCCCTTTTTCAAGTGAATTTTGTTTTCCTGTCCTATTTTATGTCATTTCTCTAGGAAACACATTAAAGTTTTGTGAATAAGATATTTTAATGGACTAGTCATTCATGTTCTATATAGTTAAACCATTTACTGTACCTTTATCCTCTTCAAATTCAGTTAATGTAAATAACAAACCTGAAATTGAATTTTATAAAACTTAGAAAAAACATGGTTCTACTTTCAGAGTGCTAATCATTACATTTAGAAAAGATGAACACAATCAAGAGAGTTGTGTATAGGTAAGCTTATGTACACATTATTGGTGAGTGGAAAAAAAATTGGCTAAACATATGGGGAAAATAGATTTTGCTTATCCCGGATGATGTTCACATAAGATATTCACTCAATTATAGTTTGCATGCAGTTTTGCAAATTGTTTATTTGAAAAAAATGGTTCTAAAAATCTAACCCAGCATCCAGTCAGGCAAAAGTAGCAGTTCTAATAGCAGAGTACTAGGACATTTTGGCTGAACCTGTTGGATAGTTGACTCATGTATCAATACAATATCAGCCTAAGTCTTAGGCTTTACTAAATGTGTGCCTAGCATCATTCAGTGCCATGATGTCATCACCAACATGTTGTAAAGATTAAGATCCACCTCAGGAAGAAATTCTAGTCACCTACTAAGACATCAACATGTACTTTGTTTAGGCTCCTGTCAATGTAGTTTGAGGTTTTGGATTGCTCGGTGTGATAGTACCAGTATTTCCCTGACAAAACCTCTTTCCTCCCATCCACAAGCTATTAGTGATTTCCTTTATAGAAAGACAAAATTGCCTCCAGGACCTGACTGGCTTGTGTGATGATAGAACTAACATTCTCTTGATGTAGCTTCTTTTCTCTCACCCACAAAATGGGGAAGCTTTGCAACTCTGCCTTCAGAATCTGCTTGACCCTGGATATCCTGAAGCAGATTTCAGGTCATCTAAGGGCATAAAAATTCCCAGCCCCATGGATTTTAGGCCCCTTAGATTTGGTGCATTTCTGAAGATCATACCCCTCTCCATTTCCTGCTGTCCTGGCCAGACATATTTCCATATATAGTCCAGGGAGGCAGATAATGCACTTTATTAGTTCAGATTCAGTGTTGGGACAAAATGAGGCACTTGTAAAAGAATATTTAACAAAAGGTGGTTTATGTTGTCCTAATACAGCAATAAATTCATCAATTGAGTGGCACATAATTTCCCTGAATGTGACCTCCCTCATCTCCCTATGTAAACATGTCTGGCCAATAGGTAACAGACTGATTCAAGTAGGGTTACGGAGTGCACCGAGTTTGAAGGACCTAGACTCCATATAGATGGGACTTATGCCCTTATATGTCCAGGGAGCAGTGTCAGGGAAGCAGAGACCAATTAGATGTCCTGGGTGCAGCTGTGTAAAGACTCTCCATGTTGTGGTAGAAGGAAAGAAACTTCATCAGTGAAGTACTGGTCCTGTCACACAAAATATATAGTACAAAGTGGTGGAGCATCACAAGATGTAACCCAGCACAATACAGGAGTCAGCAAAGAGAAAGCCAAGCAAGCTAGCTTTATTGAGAAGAAAGGCTATCAAAGAGAGGCAGTCACAAAAGGGAAACAAGTTTGGTCCTGCTGGGATCCCCGGTGGAGGGGAAGAGGATTGTGCTAAAACTGGTAAACAGTTGGGCAGAGGGAGGTTATAGAGTTTTTATCTGGTTCAAGCAGGACCATACATTGTGGGGAAGAAGAGGGGTGCCTGGATCTGGTATTTAGGTCAGGGTTTGGGGACTGGTGTTACTTCATGGTTGAGAAGTGGGGATGGGAGGAAGGGGAACACCTGAGGATGTGGCAACTAGTTGATATCCAGACTCCCTCCTGGTGGGAAAGGGGCTTTATATCAGTCAAATTACTCAGGATATTTGAGCCTCCTGGCAGCTTCATTTGAACAGAGAAGAGAGGCAACTGAAGTCCTTATAACTCCTTCTTACTTTCTTCATCCATCCTTTATACTTAAATAAGTATTATTTAAATTTTGTAATGCTTGTTGGGTAATTTCAGCTAAATCATAAAAATCTTCTGGCTCTCTGAGAAAATATTTCAGTACTACTCTGCATTATAGAAGTGGTGTTAACACTACCAAATTGCCTCTCCCATCCCGACAATCATATGAATTAATTGTCTGCCTTTGATCTAGACCACCGAATTGTACATTTAGTGATGGAAAAAGGTCCAAATTATCATCTAGCACATCTTATTTAATTGTTAATGCTGAAGAGTTTAAAACCTCTTTCCAGTGGTTTTTTAATGCTGTAAGTCAGGTCCCTTTGTGTACCAGGTTTCACGTTTTCATGTCTGAAGCTTTATTGCAGTTAATTATGTTTCATAACTTATGTTTGAGAAAATACTAGCTGTTCAAAAAACAATACATAGTGGAAAAAACTTTACAGAAATAACCATTTTCAACCAATGAACATTTTTTTGGGGGAATGATAATGAAAACAACATTTTGTTAGCATAAAAAAAAGATTGATTTCTAACTAAGGAAAGTAATTAACCTCCCCCCCCACTCCCTGCCCCCTTTCTTTTCAGGTATAAAGATGTCTGACAAGACCAAGAAAAAAGCAGCTACCAGCGCTTCAATTATTGAGCAGCTATTGGCAGAAAAGAATTTCCAAGATCTTGGAGATCACCTGACTGAACTAGAAACTATTCACATGAGTATAGAGCATCTCCAAGAGACGGATGTTGTAAGAGCTGTATATAGAGTTTTGAAACATTGCCCAATAGTGATTTTCAAAAAGAAAGCCAAGTGTTTACTTTCCAAGTGGAAAACACTTTACAAAAATCACTACTTCCAGCCAATGAACAGTTCTGATTTTTATCTCAAGGATAGTAAGGAAAACACTGAACACGTTAGTCTAGTTCAAGAAGAAAATTCCCCATATGCAAGTAAAGAACAAATATTAGATACAGCAAATTCTAACTCTATGTCATCATCCCAAGATATTGCAAAAGGTGTTGAAACATTTATGCCAGAAAACAGTGCTGCTCCAGTGGAAGAACATTCAGAAGAACATTTCATGAGTCATGACCCTAAATTCATTGACAGCAAATCAGCTTGGCATCAGGATCCTACGAGGGCTAAATGTGTAGAACTTCTTTATGGAGCCTTAGTTACTTGTGCCACAGACCAGCAGAAAACTGATTGTTGGCAAATACTGGCAAAAGAAATTGAGGAGTATGTTTTTGCACTCTATTCAAAAAATCTCAAAAAATACAAAAATTGCATCAGAAGCAAAGTGTCAAATTTGAAGAACCGAAAAAATCCTCATTTACAACAAAATCTGTTTTCTGGGACCTTATCTCCAAAAGAATTTGCTGAAATGACAGTCATGGAAATGGCAAATGATGAATTAAAGCAGTTGAGGGCTTCATACACAGAGTCCTGTATACAAGAACATTATCTTCCTGAAGTAGTTGATGGCACACAAACAAATAAAATAAAATGTAGGCGCTGTGAAAAATTTAATTGCAAGGTTACCATGATTGCCAGAGGAACACTTTTCCTTCCAAGTTGGGTTTGCAGTGCAAACCCAGATGAAGAAATGATGACCTATGTCATTTGTAATGAATGTGGAGAACAATGGTATCACAGCAAGTGGATTTGCACATGATTGTGAAGAAACATTAACAGTTTTAATAAAGATAATTTTTGTTCATAAAGTGCTTTTGCAATACATTTCAGACCTTTTGCACATTAGATTATCTGTAGAACCTTGAAGCACTAAGTTAGCACTAGCTAACATACCACCTACTATACAAACCTTTTATTTGAGGGTTTTCTCAGTAACCCTCCAAAGTAGGTAACTGATTAATTAAAAGCACCTGGATTGATAGTGGCTCACCTTTTCAAATGCCTTCCTGTTTCACATACAAGTATTGGTTATTTTAAAATTTTTTTCTTTCATGATTAAACGTTATCCAAAGTTTGGACTTAAGTTATCATATACTTCGACATAGTTATCATATACTTGGACATATATATACACACACACACACACACACACACACACACACATATATATATATACACACACATATACATAGACATGTATATATATATATGTATATATATATACATGGACACTTGTCCATCCAGTTGGCAGAGGCAGAGACTGAGATACAGATATACTCAAGTTCACACAACTACTGAATGGCAAAGTTGAGTCTCAGATCCATGCTTTCTGTTTCCTGGCCTGGTTGTTTTTTTCACTAGCTGTTACTACCAAGGATTGTAGCTGTTTGAAGCATCTGAGAGGTGTATACCATGTCTAAAGAGATTAAGTGACTTGTTAACATAGCCAGTTAGTAATTGAGGGAAGAAATTAAGTCAGGCAACATCTTTTGTAAAAGCTGTTTCTTTGTGAGAAGTATTTTTTTTTGAGTGTATGAATCTAGAGGTGAGTCCTTTGGTGATAACCACAGTGGAGATTTGTTCATATCAAGGACATAATTCAGGTTCTTTGCATGAGAAGTGTATGTTTCAGTAGAAATTGGCATCACCTGGTAAGAAATGGATCACTCCAGTTCTATTCATCTCTTTTTTTTCTTTCACTTTCTTTTCTCTTCTCACTTGCCAGACTGCACCTCTACCACTAAAGTTATTCTTCTACTCTATTAAGAATCCATCTGTTCAGTTCTTTGAAATTCTGCATTTCTTTTTCTTTGCACATGCTCATTGCAAGATGTGAAGAGTTCATTTATTTTGTATATCTGTTATATAAATATATGTATATTATACTATATAATTTTTTAAATATAGATGTATATGTAGATATAGATGTACATATGTAGATATGTATATGCACACATATAAACATGTGTGGTAAATATACATCTATACACAGATATATATATATATATATATACACACACACACACACACACACATATACATACACTATATATACAGATATATAAAAACTTAAGTCCAAACTCTGGCTAATGTTCAGTCTTTTAAGAATCACAATTTTAAAATTGGTAGTTTTATGTGAAAAATTTGTATTACTATGCCAAGAGGAGCCCTTTTTAAATCAGTCTTTCAAATAGATAAATTTATTCCTGAAGCTAAGGAGGGACATACCATGTCTATTTTGCATGAATTTTGTGAGCAGCTTTTAATGCATGTATGTGTGTGCATATGTACATGTTACTGCATATGTATATTATACACATGCATTGATGTGTATGTATAGAGATTTGGTGTTGAAAAGGACCTTAGAAGCCATTTAATCTAGTCCCTTCAATTTACTTATGAGGAAACTATAACTTAAAAGATTTAAGTCATTTTCCAAGGTCGTGTGGTAAAATGGCAAAGCTTAAGATTTAAGCTCGTACCCTCTGAATTCTTGGCATCAAAGTTTTTTGTTTTTTTTTTTTTGTTGCTTTTTGGTGAGGCAGTAGAGGTTAAGTGACTTGCCCAGAGTCACACAGCTAGTGAGTGTCAAGTGTCTGAGGCTGGATTTGAACTCAGGTCCTTCTGACTCCAAGGCTGGAGCTCTGTCCAGTGCACCACCTTGCTGCCCTGGCTTCAGAGAATTTGATGACCCTCAAAGGTCAACTAGTTCAACTTCCTCATTTTTGTTGTTCAGTCGTTTTTCAGTTGTGTCCAACTCTTGGTGACCATTTGGGGTTTTCTTGGCAAAGATACTGGAGTGGTTTTTCATTCCCTTTTCCAGCTCATTTTACAGATTAAGAAACTAAGACCCTAGAAGGTTAAATGACTCATTGTACCACACTGCCTCTAAATCTGTAACATAAGAGATTGCATAGAACAGTGCCTGCCTTATGAAGAATTAACAACAAGCATTTAGGAAACATCAGCAGTGTTCCAGGTATTGTGCTAGGCTCTGGGTTTTGCAATCAGTCCCTGCTCTCCTTGCTTGCATACTTCTAGGAGATGCAACACATACCTAGATAATTAAATATAAAGTAATCAGATTACTAACTGAACAGGTTTCACTAGTGAAGGCATTCCAGGCATGGGGGATAGTTTGTCCAAAAGTAAACAGGTATGGGGGTGGAATGTCACATATGAGGAGCAGCAAATAGTCTATGAGGAATAATGTGTCAACAGCTTGGAGAGTCTGGGGCCAAATGCGAAGGGCTTTAAGTTCCAAGTAGAGAAGTTTATTTCATTCTAAAGTTAATAGCAAGCTACTGAGGATTGTTGTACCAGGGAAATGACATGGTCAGACTTGGGCATGAGGAGGAATTGGGTTCAGGTCCTACTTCTGACACTAGTTAGGAGACTGTGGGCTAGTTAACTTAATTCCCCAATGCCCTGCACAGCTTTATAAATTACAGACAAATTGCTAATCTACATCCGTAGACAGATTCCATTTCTAGGACTTCCCAACACTGATGAAATTACAAATTCAGACCATATATATTATATACATACATAATCTGAATCCATAATTTTTATCGGTGTACATGTGATAAATATTACATATAATATACACACAAACGGTCTGAAATGTAATTTCAATATATATGTGTATGTACATACATGCATGTGTATGCATTGCTTACACACATACAGTTCTCTCTTTTGGGGGGCCATAAAAATGTTATAGTATTTATCATCTTGGAATACAAACAGGTTCTTTTAACTTGAGATGTTCAGTTAACCTGTTCATGCATTTTGATCATCATCCCAATCCTTTTTTCCTGTTGGAGGTTTTGGGCCGCCAGCTGGTCTTGCCATGATTATCTCTGATCAACTCTGAGTATGATAATTACAGCATTAGTGGACAACTTAATAGCCTAATATTTTCCAAGAGAAGTATCTAGAATGCCAGTTTCCAACATATCCTTTACTGCAGAGTTTCAGCCTCAATGTCTAATTTAACATTTTTGTTTTCTTCTTGATGTACTGCATAAAGTTCAGAGATCACTTCATTAGCCTTAACTCCAGAACGTTCTGCCGTTGCCCAGGGGGATATAGCTTCAAATGCTTCTGCAGATTTCTTGATGGCACATTCTTCTAGTCCAGGACATATCTCTCCATGTGATGTGATCTTTTTGGCTTTGCCCCACCTCCAGGCACAAGATCCTTATCCCTTGTGAGAACTTTGAAAGTATTAGCACTGTCATCTACTGCCCTTTCTATGTCATCCATTAGATTATCTGTAGAACCTCGCAGCACTTTAGTAGGAATGGCACCATCTTCCTTTTCATGCTTGAAAACAACCACTCTTCCTGTTACATGGCACTCCATCTCCTTTCTCCTTACTTTTACATCATCCCACTACCAAACCTGGAATGCATCCCCTCTTCAAGACATAGCTAACATACCACCTTCTACACAAACCTTTCCTACCCCTGCCCCAAACTGCTGGAACACATGCTCTTTCCTTATCTTTAAATATAATTACTGTGTGTTTATTTTATTTTGTATCTTTGTATTCTGTATAGACTTCAACTGTATATATATACATGTCTATCTTGACAGACTATAATTTCCTTAAGAGTAAGAATTGGTTATTTTTTTTGCTTTTTCTATTACCAATGCCTAGCACAATGCCAGGTATATAATAAATGCTTCTTGATTGATAAACATTTTCTCATACATCATTTTCTCACTAGTCAATCTTTTTTTTGGCAAGGCAATTGAGGTTAAGTGACTTGCCCAGGGTCACACAGCTAGTAAGTGTCAAGTGTCTCAGGATGAATTTGAACTCAGGTCCTCCTGACTCCAGGGCTGGTGCTCTATCCCATGCACCACTTTGCTGCCCCTCACCAGTCAATTTTAAGCCCCTACTGATACATTCTTTGTCATAAGCTTTTTGGGGAGGATTGCCACAAAATAGGCAATACTGCTAGCTTTTCGTTAGTCATACCTTTTAGGGCTAGAAAAGGACATTAATGGCTTGAGTGTATCACCCTCATTTTACAGGTGAGGAAATGAAGATGTAGATAGGTGATATGCTCAAAGGTTCACAGCAACATAAGGATTAATAATCTGGACTCAACATCTAGGATCATACTGGGTTTTAGTCATTTACACCGATTTAAAATTTTGGTACTGATCCAAAAAAAAAAAAAGACCAAAAAACCACTGGTTTTGACTGTGTAGGGAACTCTCAAATGAGCAAACTCCCTTTACAAATGGAGATTTAGCTCTTCTGCAATGTGAGAGTTGCCTGTGGTACTGAGAGGTTAAGCTACTTGCCCCATGTCAGATAGCCGTTATGTGTCTTTTCTACAAGTCCATCTTTCTCTGCTAGGTCACACTGCTTCTGTTGTTCTTAGTATTGGCTCCTTGCCTGACCCCCCAGATGGTAGGAAATTAATGCAAAATACAAAAACATTTTTATACAGATTATTTTGAAGGAAGTAGTTTAAGAACATTCTTAGCAGCTCTTCCCATCTAGTTGGTAAATCGCCGTACAATGTGATGCAATGTATGTTAGGAGCTTCAAGGGTTAAAAGAAACTTGCAAAGTCATTTAAAGACTTAAAATTTCACAAAGTACAGACCAGTATGAATTAAATTTGTTTAGTGATCACAGAAGTGAATATAGCTCGTTTTATTAAAGTTCACCTGAAAACCAAGATGATACATTGTAACAGCATTGTTATTTTTAACAGGCACAAGTATCTCTGATCAGTGATATTTTTATTTCATTTTTCTTTTT